GACGGAAAACCGAATATAGCTGATAGTTTTAAACTTCTTTTTCAACAAATTATTTAAAATTGTACCTCGAAGACAATTCCAAAAGGCAATTCTGAATTAAAAATACGAATAAAATGGCGAATGAACTAACGTGACTTATGAATTTTCAAACGTCAATTGTAGATGATCAAACCGTAATTCCCCTTTTTAATCCACACTTTATGAAAACGCTTATCGCATTCCACTTCCATATTTCGTCAGACTCGCACTTTTACGTTATGTCACATGTATACAGCCTGTTATCAATGACTCTATTATCGAACACATTAAATTTATCGCACCTGTACGATAAAGGCATAAAATTTAACAAAACGATGCACCTGCAAATTTCATGCAATTGAAACTTTCTAGTCCTTCTAAAACACATTTAAAAAAACCTTACATAATTAGGAAATTATGCGTGCTATCACAGTAAAATTATTGCAACCCTATTGTTTCCGTCTTTCATCTATCATAAACTCTAGAAGAACCTTACAACTGCATCTTTGAATTTTGATTCTATTTTAGCCGTTTACAAACTTCGCACTGATCCAATCCCAAGTAAAACATTTTCGGTATAAGTTGGTATATCAAGCAACAGTTAAAACGTATCTAAAGCCCGCCTATATGAAAGGTGGTTTACTAACTTTATTCTGTTGCAATGAAATTGTTAAATCCATGCTTAAAAGATTATACGCTCATATTTTCATTCGGTTTTGTTGGACTAGGGAAATCTCGCATTATGGGAAATATATTTTGTGGGCTCCCGGCGCTAAGCGAGCGTGCTTTCTGCTCATTCAATCCACGGTAGTGGTCTTTTGCCCACTCTTCTTAGAGGTCGCAATTACGGTTAATTACATTAATAACCATTTGTGAGATTTTTTAAATTAAAGTGGACACGTAGATATTACTTTGTTGAACGTATAGAATTAGTTAGAAATGTAATGTGTTCCTATCGAAGTTACGGACATTAATTTCATGCCAAACTTTTCAAACACGCATTTCAATTCAATTCTGTAGACTACCAACTTTCCGTTTTGATCTAAATTTGAAACGGTAAGTGGGAATTCGCGTTTCAAATTACAAACACAAATTTCGTAAAAGTTGACTAGCTCTAATGTTTCACGGTTTTAGGCAAAACAACATTTTTGTCTTTGAACCAAAACTAGATTTCTTGTCTGCTTTTTGGTTTCTGTGGTGTTTATGAAACATTTTTCACTTGTTGCTAGGTGGACTGCGTTATTCTATTCCATTTTGACGGAAAATAATTCTAAAATAAGTTCTAAATTATTATAGGATGCATAAGAAGAATAATCTGCTACTATCACTACCCTTAAAGTTTTCTGATACAAAGAATAAAGTTTGTATTAAAAGCTTTATGAAAAATTCATGTTCGTTTCGATTTCACCTCATTTTGTAAATTAGTTTTTAATCCGATATAAGGAGAAATAACATCAATTATTCGGGCAAAACAAAAACAGGAAACGTTTCGAGAACGGTTTGGGATTCTAAGTTTGCAGCATGGGTTATACAGTTTTAATGCTTTTTTTATGTTTAATTGTGCGAGCTACTTTCACTACCGCTTGAATTCGTGAGGAATTGAGGGAGTATTAAAAAATAACTTCTAATTCAATTTTTATATCATCTTGTAAACAGAAATAGAATATTGTAATGGCTGTGATCCGGAATATGCCATTCGAGATGTCATTTCATTAGAAACAATAGTTATTTGTACTAGTTTTGAAAGTGATACTTTTTTTCATGAATTTGCAGTTTGATTAATGAGGGCGAGTTAATCACACAAATTCATGGAAAAAAAGACACTTTCAACACGTGTTGTACACGAAATTTTTTTGCATAGTGATCCATAATAACCCACAATTGAATAATTTTATTGACTTTCGCGATTAACTGTCACTCAAAAATGGATGCTATTGTTCATAGACAGGACTAAACTCCTTGGAAACGCATAGTAAAAATCATGAAAAAAGTGCCACTTTCCATACGATTTCGTTAAAAAAATGTCCGATAATTTCATCACTATGTAAAAATAGTACATTATATATCAAGGTAGAGAAGTACAGTATTATTGCCTGAGCACCAAGATTACATCTCGAGGCGCTTGCGCCGAAGGGTGTAAGGTGCGAAGGCAATAATAGACTTCTCTACCGTGGTATATATACTATTTTTTTCACTACTAGCACTTGAAGTGCTCTAAATTAACATATTATGTCGATAAGAAAGTGAACGGTTGGACAGAATTTTTTGTTTATTAATTTAACATGTCAATCAAGTACGTGGAAGTAAACGTTAAGCAGGCCGTATTTTGTTCTGTCATTGAGATATTTTCAAAGAGTAATTTCGTTCGAATTTTTTCAAAATGTGATAATTTTAGGTATGTAATTTCTCTGGAAATGACGATGGTGGCAATTATTCATTTTAGAGAACTTGTCTAAACGTTTATTGAGCGAAATTTCGGGTTGTGTTTTCTAAAAGTGACAGCGTGACAGTTCTCATTATTGACTACTAGTTAATAATGTCCACATTATTAACCACTTTGAACAAATGCCGAGAAAGCCTACTTTACAAGTGGAAAAAAGGTTAATAATCATGTCATCAGACGCTAGTAGTGAAAAAAAGTTATTTTGACCTTGTTGTACAATAATCATAACCGGAGCTGCGATTGATGTGATCATCAGCCAATCTCTGACGAAGAAAGTGCACATCCGTCTATGTATAAGTATTATTACAATGAAACAGCAAACCTTCATTCTTGATGATTTGATGGAACCTCTTATTAATAATCAGTAGAAATCATTTTGATAAATAACGCTGTCTAAATACAACGTTAATTAAAATGCACTATATAGAAATACACCAATCGCGCTCTATTGACTTCATGCTTAATTCATCACAGACGTACGTTGGACAATCAATTAGGTTGAAATTAAGTTGTTACAGTCATCCTCAATGACGTAGTTGACTCTGTTAGTGAATGCTTCATGTGGTACAAGCAAAATACTATGTTTTTGAATAAAGTGACCACATACTTACTAAGTACTTGGATTTTTTATGTTTCTGATGCTCTCGTATTTATCGCATAGTTTACATATTACATTTTGTTACAGATTGGAAGCTTGAAAAATTACTATCTATTTGAACATAGTCACGTCCATAAGCGTTCCTTGGAAACCAATGGTCAGTACCATGAAGCGCTGCAGTCTGATCCACAGGTATGTACATAACACTTTGAGTTCTATATTGTAACTGCTTTTCACTCACATTTCGGATATAAAAGATACAGGATTCTAATTGAGGTTTTAGTATGTTTAAAAAACCGACTAATGAGAAGTAATGATAAACTATACAATATGCGTTTCTGTGTCCACTTTAACATCACCAAACATTAAATGATTCATAATTTTAAAGCGTCAAGTTACACTGTATTACAGTCCAGAATACTCAAAATTTATAACTGGTGTAACAGTAGCTGTAATTTTGGATTTAAGTTTTTTGAATTTTCTCGAAATCTCATTGTAAATGTGAGATATTTTGAGTTTAAGAATAGATATCTTTGAGGTTTTAATACTATTGTAATAAATAAATTAAATGATTTATTTGTCCGCGAAGTTTCATTTGTGGTAGAATTTCAGTAGGTAGGTAATAACCATTTTAAACGATGTCAGAAATGAAGTCCGTTTTTTTGTATCGTTTAAATGTCAGTAGCTCTTTGTTAATCCGGATGTTAGGGCGGCACAATAACGAAAGTTTACCTGAAGCTCAGACGTTTTTATTAGGTGTTTCAGTTGGTACGGCAGCAAGATGTCACTTTCTGACCGTAGAAAGCGACTTAGTTATTAACGTGATATCAAAAGAAGTTGTGAACTAATTAATGCCAATTTGTGCAGTCTAGTTTTGGAGAAGATTCTTGAAGGATATCGCGCGTTAACTACTAAGGCGATACCAGTTGGTCCAATTAACAAAATCTACCTAATGCCAATTTTTGCCGTATAATACAAATATTGTATTCAAGCCGTAATGGAGATATTCGTGATTCTCGGTCTGTACTTCAACTTCACGTGCACACGCTGTAACGGATATATTCAAGATTTTAATCTGTACTTCGACCTTCATGGTGGACTCATATCATTTCATAGGAAGAGAAAAATTTAAGCGCACACATTTTGAAAACTGTTACCGATACCCACTATATATTGCTTACTAAATATTGCTATCCTATTCAGGCCCCTAGAGGGATTGACAATTTTGGTTAACACTCATAATAGGACATCCCCTTTGTATATAGAACCTCAAAGAAAACTCTTGCTGGTGGTATGTTTAAACTTTTACTGATACCATTGAATAATAAATCTGTTTATTATTCAATGCTGATACAAAACACATGTCTGACATCATTCCGTAAACTCACATATTCAACTTTCTACGTAACACGCCATGACCAGATAGGCAACCTATCAAACACTTCTTTTTTGTATGTTGTTTGCAACATAACTTTATTTTAAGAAATTCAAATTGACTTATATGTTAGTTTGTGGTTTTGTCACAGTAGTTTCTTTGTTTATTTGTTACGCTTTGCAATTCAAACAGTTTTTGTTGCTAAAAACAATAACTTCTTTATTGCAGGGTCCATGTAAACTAATATTTCAATTGCATTTCTTTGATTTTTGTTACAGTTTTTAAGTTCCCTTCGGTATTGTTTGTTTGGGTTTGAGTTGTCAGCCTTTCTTTGAATTGACCATTGTTCGTGTTTAAGGTATTGACCTTTGGATTACGATTTTACTTTAAACTTAGTTTTATGTCTATTATGAATTATGATGATATATGTTTTCCTCTAAACGTTAGTTTTTTTGTTTGATTTTGTCATCATAAGTTTACCGTGCTGGTTTGCGCGTGTATTCGAATGTTATTCGATTTTAACCATTGTAGTTTGTCACGTACAAAACAACACAGGAACTCTTGAGTTTTCACTCTTTTGGCCGTGACAAAAATTCTTTACCAGCTGCTACGCAGAGGAATGGGTAATTAGTAATTTTATTTTATATCGCCGCTAGAAGCGGGAATAACAATGAAAGTTGTAGATACTGCTCGTGCTTCAGGGAACAGGATGTAGGTAGTTACGTCAAAGAAGGCAATACTCAAGCACAACACACATAAACAGAACGAAATAAATTACATGGAGATGTAAATACGTGGTACCTATTTCAATATCCAAATGGGCCAAATTAGCTTTGGTTTACTCACAATAAATAAAAAAGGCAATGTAAAGAAAATTAACAATCACAAGACCGGCTCACTCGCTTCATTTCAGTATAGGACGAGTTAATATGACCTCAATTTTGATAGGACTTGGATTATTAGATAGCGCTACCGGTATAACACCTTGACCATTGGACCTCACCTGGGGTATACTACTGCTTGATATTTGTCTTGTGCAATGTTTTATAAACTGACTATAATTAATTAATTAATGTGTCACTTAGGGCCAATTGCACCGTCAACGATAAGTATCCCTTAAAGTTAAGCATAATTTAAATACCATAGCTACGATTGTTTTTAATAATCGTTTCCATAGAATTTAAGTTCGACTTAACTTTAAGCAAGTTTTAATTTTGTTGGTGCAACTGGGGCTAAGCAACAAATGGTGTAACCATTGTTTAAACACCATTGTACATGTATTATACAAGTAGGCCAACGGTCGTTTACTTTTGAACACCACGTATAGATGGCGAGGACATTAGAGTCGCAACATTGCCATCAACGTAAGTAATTGAATGCAACCAAATATTTAAATGAAATATTACCTTAAATCATAACATAACGTCATAACCTTAATCTCAAAAAATGACAACCTCAGAGTATTTATTTCTTACTCTGAGATGACAACTATTTTTCTGTTTACTTTAAGTATTATATAAAAAAACTTTAAGTAAAAGTAAAAACGTTAAGTAAGTAACACACAAAAAACACATCACAAGTGAAAGTGAGGGAAGAAAAGGAATGAAGGATAGAGGAGATAGGTGAGATAGAATAAGACTCGATGAATGAATTCCCTTCTTTATTTTATTTAACAACCATATCGATGAAACGGAGACGGCACAACAAGTACAACCTGACCTTTGCCGAAGATGTAACTTGCCAATTAAGGTGATCGGAATAGATGGTGTGACCAACGGTTAACAATCGGTGTTGCTTTGGTGATGCGAACAGGAAACACAATGAACGTAAGATGTATAGATGATGCCAGAAGGTAACGGTAAGTTATGCGATGAACAAGGATATTTGATTCTTATTTTCGTAGATGCTTGAATCCAACGTAGTACGATGAAAAGTCTGAGGAAACTTGAAGACACTGAAAGAAATAAAGGAAACGTAAACAGCTAACAGAATATCGATAATTTGTAGACGATTACATCTATCAGAGTCATACTTCTTGAGATGACAGGCAAGCGTTTGTGTTAATGTGACCAAAGATCCGCAATATGCACGAGAAGAATTATATACCAAAATATCAAAAGGTACGTACCTAATCTTTTTGACAACCAATTCTCTATCCCTCTCAGAAGCTCAATATACTTAATTCTAATTACAGACTTGGTGAAATCACATGTACTTCATACAGGATGGCTACAGGAAAAGTGAAAGTTGATAAGAGCATACAGGAAAAAGGAAATGATTGTTATCATTATCAGATACAAGTAAAAACAATAAAGAGACAGTTACTAAATTTGAATTAAAATTGTAGAAAAGGAAGAGTAGAAAATGAAATAAAGTATTTCCAAGATTTATAAGAATTAAGTATAAGAAAAAGAACTGTTACAAGTTGTTTTACAATACATTGCCTTTAAGTTAAAGTGCAAACAATTATTCATAAATTTACGTGTTAATACTTGTCATTGCATAGACTTTATTGTAACGTAATAGTTATTCACATAAAAGTCAGGAAAATGACACATTACTGGCGATTTCCGCGTCAAGTAATGTTATTTTACTGACGAGTTTTGTATTAAATTTTATCCAAAATCGTATTTTAATATCAAATTTCAATTTTCATATGGAACTTTTGATTAATGTCAATCTGTCAAGGATGACAGGAGTCATTATAGGCACTTAGCAATGTCAAAAATGCGACTGGTAAAGTGACGGGTGTGACAAGCGACAGGAAACGCAGTCTGCTCTGCCTCTGTCATGGAAACTAAAATTTCCTGACAGAAAGTAGCCATCAAAATGAAGGTTTCAGGACGATTTTGGGTAAATTGAATTATGTGATTTATCTATTTACAATTTAGAGTGGCGTACTGGTACACAAATTTATGTAGCATACAAATTTGTCACATGTGGGCACGAATTTCACTAATCTATCGGTATCAATGTTGGAGCTGCCATTAAATACCTACGCTTCAATTTTCTTACATACGCAAAAAGCAAAATTTCTAGAAACAATCACGGACCGTTCTTGAGGAGTCTAAAAGGCGTATCATACTTCAAGGAAAGGGCGCGTCGCCCCAATGTCTCGGATACTCGCTACATTATGTTAAGGGCCTTAACATTAAGGCTCATCTAAGTAAACTTGACACTTTCATCTTGTGCAATGTACCGTGTGTCCTATTTTGACTGAGACTGCTGTGTATCTCATCTCTTTCTAAGGATATAGTCTTGCGGTTTTCGCAATCCCGTCCCACTGTTTTGTGAAACTTTTAACAGCACAAGTAGAATCAATCTAGCTGTGTTTGGTTCATGACTAAATTTTAAAAAAATATTGGTTGCATTCTTAGAATGTAATCAGGAGAAAGAATGCAACAAAATTGATGTTGTTGCATTTAAAAAATACCAACTTGAGGTCAAATCCCAGAAATGTGGTCAAAATTTGTTTGACTACGCGACTGGATTCTACATAAAAATATATAAAATAGACAGTTTTTACCTTTTTTCTATCTTACATGAGTAGTAAGATATGATAACATTCCAAAAAGTCACACTTTTCGTTCTCACCCTGTATCTAAGAAAAAAACGATTCTGTTTGGGGCTCTGGGTCGCGAAAACCGCAAGCCTCTGTCTCTAAAAACAGCTGAGATACACTGCAATTCCAACCAAAATAGGTATAGCATGGATAAAAAATATGTACAGGCCACTAAACGGCTTCGTTGCACAAAATCGAGGAGAAGTTAAATTAATGTCTAAGTGACCCCGACGCGTACTGCCAATGTATTGTACGCACAACACAAAGCGGTCCATTTTCTGCGGTGCTCTATGCTTTGGCGATTGTATATGCAAGAGGTAGTCTTGCAATCCAACGTTCGCTACAGATCACATTATAATGTCTACTCTGAAATGCATGATATTTTGTAGTGTAGTGGGTGGGAATGTGTGTCCAAACTCCGTTTCGTTGTCAGCTCCAACCATCTTTGAATAAAGTATTATCATTGATCACTCAACGGTATTATCGTTCATCATACATAATGAAAACTTGTATAGGCATTAATGAAAAATATGATTAACTAAAATTTTTTTTACTTTTATGATTTTACTGTTAATACCCAGAATAATACGAGGAGAATTTGCCGTTAGGACTATGCTGAAGTTAGACTACTGGGTATCGGCACCAATTAAGAAAATAATTCTTTTACAGGTCATATTTTCGTGAATGTTTATTCACTTCATCAGGACATGAAAACTACAATAATCAGTACATTAAATAACTTTATTATGTCAGTAATTTTAATTTTAATCTAATGTCATCTTTAATTAATTTCAAAATACAATTCATGTCAGTACCGTTTAAATTTTAACTCTTAACAAAGAATGTACTATTGTGCCAGTAGTCTAACTTCAGGTTAATACACAGAGTAAATTTTTAACTTTTGATTTATTCCAGTTTTATTTTTATTTCAGAAAATCAAATAATTTTTTTTTAAATGCTCGGACACGACAATATTTACGGTCTAGGACATTAGGGCGCCACCGTTAAGGCGTGAGACACAAGGGCGCGTGGACATAAGGGTGCGAGGACAAAAGGGCGCGGGACAAATGGGCGCGAGACATAAGGGCGCGGGGACATAAGGGCACGAAGTCATATGGGCGCGGGAGAGTGTTTAAAAAATATATATTGTAGTGTGTTGATATTTTATACCAACACTACCAACAGTCATTACACAGGGCATTCGAGATACCCAAAAAAATACAATTGGCAACGCCAAAATCGGTGGGTGCGAGGTTGCGTGATACCTTTTATATCACGTTTACTTCTGATTTGATGTTTTTAGCATCGAGTTGTTTAAAGGAGACGTTATGCCACGAACTTATTAAATTAAGATGGACTGCTAATGCTGAATTTACAAATGACACCTACATGGAGGCAGCCATGATGTGCACTCACTTGGCGCGAAATTCAAATCAACTAATAAACAAGCATTAACCTCACGTTTTCTAAATAAATTACTGTGACACATGTCATTTTCCAAGGCTGCAATAGTCACAAAACTTGAGCACTAGGAAAATTCCCCTAGAAAATAACTAAAACGTGCACATCATGGCCGCGCCCATGCTAGGGCCATTTCTACCTCTATGCAACTGTTTGATCAGCGGTCCATCTTAATTTATAAGTTCGTGCGTTATGCTTTCTCCCAATCGCTCACACACGATTTTCACGCCCAACAATTAAAAGAGAACGGCTGAACTGATTGCGATGAAATTTTACAGATGGATTCTTCTTTAAGGTACCTACATACAAAATTTCATGTAATTTGGTTCATAACTAACGGAGATGTTAAAAGGGCCTACTTTATTTTTTGATTTACATTGTCAATTCACGAACTCCGATCTACAAATTTTATAAAGAATCTACCTGCAAAATTTCTTAGTAATCGAAATCCGTCTCGTTTAAAACCCGACGCTAAAATATAGAAGTAGAAGTAAATGTGAAATATAAAATATTAACACCAACTACAATTTATTTTTTTAGAGAATACTCGGTCCGGCGCCCATATGTCTTCGCGCCCTTATTTCCTGCGCCTATTTGTCTCGCGCCCTTATGTCCACGCGCCCTTTCGGCGGCGCCCTAATGTCCGGCTCCGCAATATTTAATTTTAATTTGTTTTATCTTTATTTATTCCAAACTATCCAAATTTACTCTATAAAAATAAAATGAATGCAATTTGGCGCTAGGTTCTATTTCTTGTGAAAATATGTAAAGGAAATAAAATGTACTTACACTTTTAAACAAAACACGTGATTATCAATATTGCATACTTGTATTCTGCACAATTCTGCAAATTTTACGGAACAAGAATTTTAGTCAATCTGTTTGAACTGTGCTAGTGCAAGTCGTATTATATTAATTAAGATGAGTGCCTCAGAATTTTATTGTACACGATGAGGATTATTAGCGTTCATTTTAATATATGCGTTTTTTACTTTTAAACATGTGTGTATGTTGTAGCATGCCCAGACCTGCCCCGAGTGACTGCGCAACTCAAGATTAAATCAAAACTTTCCTTCCCAAACTAACTGAACCCCATGGCCCATGATCATCTAGACAAAGCTACCTAACCTGAATAACAAAATTCTAGGACCACTTTCTATGTTGTGTTTTAAAGAGTCGGTGGTGTCTGTCGGAGTGAAGACCAAGTGAGGTGCAGAAATAAAACGAGTACCTAAGTACATGCTTTAAAAACAGAAATTAAACTGCAATAAATTACATAGCAAGAAAAAAACCACCCAGCAAATTAATATTAAACTGTATTGCAGTAGTATATTGAAAGACAAGTGTTAGAATGCGACGTATTGTAATACGACGATCTTGTGGCACGAGTGGCGACGCGAAGGAGTATTACAATAAAGCATTGTAACACGCGTTTTTCATACTATATTTTCTATTTCGGTGCTTTAATTTAATAAAAAAAATCATTATCAGAAACTATAGGGAACATGTTTTATGTTGGGAACACTTTTTATGCCGTTAAGTAGGTTGGCAGCGTAGTAAGACTGACATTTTGAAGTTCAAACATGGAAGTACCCAACGACACGACACAGTATGCAACACACAATGCACCGCGGGGCAAAAATCGCAGAGATGATGTGCAATATAATGAAATAAGCTGTTATTTTAGATGTTCCGTTCATTAATCATTCTCGTGATTACCTCGAATTAGTAAACAGATAAATTTCTGTTGAGAATAAACCAATAAACTTAGGTTAACTCGTACGTATCAGCATGTACTCTGTCTATAAAATTTTAAATAATATGTAGATTTTCAACGGATAAAAGTTTAAAGAGCCAATGGATCGGAGCCATCCGAAGAGAAAAATTTACTCCCACCGTAGTGCATTTGCGGGGAATGAAGCCGATTTTAGAAAGGTACCGACGAAGGTGTTAAACAATAATGCAATACCGAGCGTTTTCGACTTTCCCATTCACTTAAAATAACGTAGAACTATTATTCGACATCCTTTACCAGCAAGACAACGGCAATACCAATTTGCCTATTAGGTATAGACGTAACTAAGTACTTACTGGTACTAAGTATATTTCAGGTTTTGTTACAAGAAAAATAGCTAAGTCTGTTAAATGTTCCATATGTGCAGATGCGATATTCGCATCAGAGAGTCATTCAAAACTAGAAAAAATCGTGTAGGATTGTTGCACGTATCAAGCGATGCATTAAAAATTTGCCAAATTGCTGAAAATGTGTTCAGGTTTTTCATTCAATCCACACCACACCGCCTTGTAAACAAAATGGTTATCAGCAGCCTAAGAAAAATAAATAACAGTTACAGCCCATTTGGGTTCTTGGATAGGCATATATTGAATCAAAATCCGCTAAATAATCATATCTCACTACTTACATCTTTTGTTTTAAGAGTATATTTTCCCATACGTGTTCACCACCAAAATACACATATAAATCGAATTAGGACTAGAGTAAGGCAGTTATATATACCAATTTAGTTCAAATA